GCCCATGGTTTTAAAAAAAATTAAAAAAAAACCCCAAGGCAAGAGATATCAATAAATCAAGTTAGAGGATATAAAATTTCTATAATGGGCGGCACCTGTGGCTCAAAGGAGTAGGGCGCCAGCCCCATAGGCTGAGGTGTCAGATGCAAACCCAGCCCCGGCCAAAAGTTGCAAAAAAATGTAAAATAAAGGGCAACGCCTGTGGCTCAGTGAGTAGGGCACCAGCCCCATATACCGAGGGTGGTGGGTTCAAACCCAGCCCCCGCTGAACTACAATAAAATAATAGCTGGGCATTGTGGCGGTAGCCTATAGTCCCAGCTACTAGGGAGGCTGAAGCAAGAGAATTACCTAAGCCCAGGAGTTGGAGGTTGCTGTGAGCAGTGGCGCTACGGCACTCTACCTAAGGCAATAATGTGAGACTGTGTCTCTTTAAAAAAAAAAAAGGTAAAATAAAATAAAATTTCTATAATGACAAAGGATTATTCAAAAAGTATGATGGAATAACAGAAACCAACACCAGGTTTCCCATAGGAGCCCGTGAATAACTTAGCTACATCTACAAGAGGGAGGATTCTACCAAGTGCTAGAAACTTCCTTTGTCAGTTCAGGAGGAATATATTTTTTAACCTTCATTCACCCCTTCATCCTGACCCCATGTTCAGCTTTCTTAGGATTTGGTTTTCCAGTTTCTTCCTCACCCAGTGCAAATAAATAATCTACATGAACATACTTGAATTCACTATGAGCCTATTTGCCAGGTTTGCCAGCCTATCTCAGGAGGCCCAAGCTGTAAGTGAAAATTTTATGTGTCTCCTCAAGAGGATATAGGATCCTCTCTATTTAAAAAATAATTAAATGTGCATATTTCAAAGATTGCTTCCAAGAAATACATTTATGTATATATACATATATACACACCACATGCACACAAGATCATACTCAAAATATTTACCAACCCTTCAGCACAGGCTCAGAATTAACCTAGTTGGGTGAAACTGCAAAATAGTGGCCCCAACTATAGTATTGCCTTAATCCAAGTTATCATGAAAAAATAACTACACACCCAGATATCTTACTGTGGAGACCTAACTTCTTGTAGTGGCCTGAAGCAAGATGACAGCAGGATTTGGAGTCTGGGAGATCAATTGGAAGAGGGCAGCACAGTGAGCTAAGCTATCATGGTAATGTGGAAGAGGGAATGTGGTCCACATAGGTGGAATGGGGCTTAGAGGCACTGTACTTAGATATTATTGGAAGGAAAACTTTTCCTCATCTGATGTTGGTACAGTGGTGGTAACCTGTAAATTAACTGATAAGAAACAAATTAATAGGAGAAAAGGCAAGGTTTATTTTCAAATGTGCAAGCCATAGCTCCTAGGTTAAAATTCTCTACATAACCAAAGACAAAGTTTTATCTTAGAAATTTGACCAAAGAGAAGGGGAAAGTGTTGAAGGTTCCCTTGGGCTTTTTGATGCTAATGACAATGGTTGCTCTGTCTCTCTGACAGCTGATTTAGCAGTAAACTATCTCAGAGGTAAGTAAATGGCAGATATGAGGCTCTATTTTAGTTAAATAAGGAAAGTTCAGATAAGCTTTCTTTCTGTATTTTCCTTAACTCAAATGTTTTTACTTTATCGGAACTCAGGAATCTGAGTGGGTCCCCACATTTCCCCTGTCTGAAATTTCTCTAGAAATTTTACCAAAAAAAGAAACTAGGTTGTTTGCTTTGGAGAGAGACATTTATTTGAGTTAAAAGTTGTACGGTAAGATATCTACCAAAAGGAGAGAAGAATTTAGATTAGAACAAGAAGACAAAAAGAAAAACAAATTATTGAGATGAATAGTCAGAGCTCACTATAAGCTCAGTTTCTAAGTCCAGAGGGCAGCCAGTTGAGATTTCTAGATGTCAGATCTTTGAAGTACCTTTAGTAAAGATGTCACACTGTGAACTAAAATAAAATCTTAAGCTCCTCAACCAACTGAATGGATACCCCAGTTGGCCAAGGGATCCCATAGATACCCTAAAGCTGAGTTGTTGGCCTTGAGAAGAGAGGTCAGACTTGCATCCTCATGGCCCCCTCCCTTCTTGGATATATCCTTTGTAACTCATTAAGGGGCCTAAGACTATACAAGGCAAAGCTCAAACCATACCTGAAGGCCATTAATTTATTAAGAAATATACTTGAGTTTTGGTAAAGGTCTAGTGGCTTATCTCTAATTAATGCATCCTTAATCCTTATCTTAAATTAAAATATTTTAAGCCTTTAGACCGGTGGTTCTCAACCTTCCTAATGCTGCTGTGTATTTTCATTGTTACAAAGGGTTGTGACCCACAGGTTGAGGACTGCTGCTTTAGACAAAGCTTCATTCCTTTAACCAATTACCAATGAAATATTTGTTGAATGTACTTATAACCTGTAACCTCACCCCGCTTTGGCCTTTTCTGGCAAAACCAGTGTCTGCTTTCCATGTATGGATTTAAGATATTAACTATATTTCCTGTATCCATGAATGTGTAAAAGCAAATGTTAATCCAGCTACCACGGGCGCGTTTTCTCAGCACCTCTATGCTCTGGCCACAAACATTCAGCTCAGAATAAACATCTTTAAATTATTTTACAGAGGTTGGTATTTTTCCATTTTCACAGTCATGGTTATCTCCAGGGGCAAAGCATGGAACATGCAGGTGTTCCAGTGAGCTTTCTGAGTGGCCCACACTGTTGTGGTGATAACTTCTGTGAAGTTATATCAAGTCATACAGCTTTAGCTTATAGCTTTGTTAATGTGCTTAGAATAATTTTATGGAAGAAAGAAAATGGAAATGGTTTCTAGCTAATGACATACATACTAAAATTGATGTATATTTTTAATGTTTGATTAGAACAACAATTTCCTTGACAAAAAACCCAGCTTTTCATCTTCCAGTATATTCATATTAATTTACTTGACTCTCAAAATTCTTAATTATCTCTGTACATGTTGGGTACCTCTGGTACCTAACATCATAATGGTTATAAAGATTTTTATTTAGTAGAAGTTTAATGTGTATTAAAGATGAGATGGGAGAGCAGAATTCCACAGAAGTTGAAATGTCAGGTGAAGAGTTTTTAAGGATATGGGTGTGTTTTTACTAATTTTAAATAATATGGTTAAATTTGCTATGTATGAGGCATTAACATCAGTTGCTTTTGTGATATTAGAAGGTCTTGCAACAATATGAGATAATCCACTGAAGCTTTGTGGAGGACATAACATTTGGAAGGGCCTTGAAAGAAGGTAAAATTCTAGCAGGCAGGCAGGGAAGCCCCTCCAAGAGGGGGTCAGAAAGTTTAAGGAAAGGCAGAGGTAGTGGGAAGTCTGGGAGAGGCCTTGTGGCTTCCTGGAATAAGCCTGGGCTTTGGAACTGGATAGTCCTGAGTTTATGTCCTGTTTCTGACACTAGTCAAGTTTCCACAAGTTCTTCCCATCAGAGAAATGGAGAAAATACTTCTCTTACAGATCATTTATGAGCAAATTGGAAAAGTTTCTGGCACATAACTACCCAATAAATGTTACCTTTTTTATTTTCTAAAAACAATGGGTTTTTAGTTTTTCAGGAACAAAGAATAGAAGGGAAATTTGATTTAGGGACTTTTTGTGGAGAATTTTTTCAAACCATAGAATTATGTTATTCTTAAGCAAGCAGTAATTTGATTAAATCAGTGAAAAATAGAGTTCATAGAGTTGTACCCTAATATGTAGTTTTCAGAAACAATGGTCCCTAGTTATGCTTGGTTGGAAATCATGAGAACATTTGTATGCTGAGCATCACGAGTACATTGTCTGAGTCATTAGTGGCCTCCAAATTAGCAATGGGGTTTTCCTGTGTGTTATTGATATTAAAATGTGACTTTCTTTGTTATTTGGCATAACCCACTTCCCTTCCTAATTGTATTCTGCTCAGGCGGATGCCAGCACGACTTTGTAATCTCTGTGCACCCAGTAGCAGGGCACCATTTTTTCTAAGTGTTTAGCCATGGCCTAAAGACACACTGACAATGAGAAAAATCTGGCAAGAATAATAATATATTTCCTAGTTATTCCAGATTTATGTGTCCCTCCCAGAAAGTATTATCATTTTATTCTCCTCCCTTTCTATTTCCTATCTTCTTTGCTACTCTTTCCCTCTATCGTTGTGATAAGAGAATGTTTTCTTAAAGGTAGAAGTTGTCATAAAATTTGAGTACTGACCTCTCATTCCAGTTCCCAGTCACCTGTTTTCAGTGTGATACAGAAATAGGTCTGCAAATCTCAGATGACATAGATAATCCCTTACTTAAACAGCTGTCCTGTGCGGACACTGTACATTATGAGACAGTGCTATTTAGCATTTGCAATCCTTCTTATTTCTTGAATTGGAAATAAGAATCAGCAAAAATTGCCATGCTGTTGCAGTTCCAGCGTCATTTCACAGAGTGTGTCTATAGGGATAGTATTTTTGGTAGCTGAAAAATATTACATAAATAATGTTGCATACCAATTAGTTGTGTTAAAATATATATTATGCACAGCCTTGTATTTCGGTTAAAAAGTTTCCTTGACAACATCATTTAACTTCTTACTGTTCTTTTCATGTTGCTAGTATAAATATCTAATATGTTTTTGTTCAAAACATCAATTAGGTTTCAGTATAATCTTTATTAATACAGATCTGTTATTACAGGCAGACTGCTGAGCTATGATAATTTGCACAGCAGGAACAGTAAAATATCTTCTTTCTGTTTGGTTCTATCCCAGAATGCTTGGCTTTTCTTTTTATGCTTTTACAAAGCACACCAAAACCTTTTATGATATCTTTTACAATTCTAGTGAAATCTTTAAAGCTCATATAAGCAAAAGCATTATTTTCTCTGAAGGTGAACAAAATGAAAAGGCCTCAAATTGCAGATAGATTAAAAAAGACGCTTATTCATTATAGATCTCCCCTTTTCATATTCTTCATTCTTTTTCCTCATGTAGCCAGAACCCCCCACTTCCTGCGGATTCAGAACGTGGAAGTCAATGCCGGCCAGTTTGCCACTTTCCAGTGCAGTGCCATCGGCAGGACCGTGGCAGGAGACAGGCTCTGGTTACAGGTATGGTAACTCACTTTCACCCAGAGTGAGTCCAGGGAGAAGAAAGAATCCATTCACCCGGGGAGGAACCCAGAGAAACACATTCAGCCTTTCAGGGCCCTTTTGTGAGACTTTCTTTCTTTATTAATGAATGAGCATTCTACTTAAGCTAATTATTTTCCTTCACACTTTTTTTGTTGTTGTTGGAGACAGAGTCTCACTCAGTCACCCTAGGGTTGCATGCCATGGCATCATGGCTCACAGCAACTTCAAACTCTTGGACTCAAGCAGTCTTCTTCTCAGCCTCCTGAATAGCTGGGGCTATAGGTACCCACCACAACACCACTAGTTTTTCTATTTTTAGTAGAGATGGGGTCTTGCTCTTGTTTTTTTTTTTTTTTTTATTAAATGATAGCTGTATACATTAATGCAAACATGGGGTACAGTGTAGTGTTTTCACATACATTTTGAAATACTTTCATCAAGCTGGTTCACATAAATTTCATGTCATTTGCATAGTCATTGTGTCAAAACATTTATATTCTAGTTCTAGAAAAGTTCACTTGTACCCTTGTTAGACAGATATTGGGGTCTCGCTCTTGCTCAGGCTTGGTCTCAAACTCCTGAGCTCAGGCAATCCACCCGCCTCAGCTTCCTGTGCTGTGATTACAGGCATGAGCCACCCTGTCTGGCCACACACACCTTTTTTGAATTTTGTTTTCTCTTGCTTTTGCATAGACATCTTGCTTTGGAAATCTGGTTGTCGAATTACCTTTAGAGCAGCATATTAAAATACAAAATTTGAACAAACTAGAGCCATACTTAATCTTCTGATATAATCCTTTTCTAAGTTAAACATGTTTTCTTACTTAACATTAAAAGAAAATAAAGTACAAAATGTGATACCCCCCCTTGCTCCCATGTTCGCACACATACAGTGTATAGGGATTTTTGTGATTTGAATTTCTAAGTAATAAGCTAAAACTTAGGAATTAATAATACTTCTTTTACTTTTGAGTATTTATAGTATAAATCTTCAGTGTAATTATAGATTGTGTGACTTGCTTTATAGTCTTTCAAATTCTACAAAATACAAATGTGTATTTTGCATGGCAGAACATTTCATGGATACGGCTGTGGTCCCAGGAATGTTGATGGAATGAGTGGGATTAAATTAGTGTCCCCTCTAACCAAAGTGTCACCTCTTTTTTAGGCTCTGGGTTTGGGTTTTCTCCCTCCCTTAGTATTCTTTCACTTCGTGCTTCCTTTTAAGCTTAATCTACAAGCTGCTCATTCTTCATCTTGACTAGCGTTGATTTTTTTCTGTATCTTTCCTTATTTTCTGTGGGTTTCTTAAAAATATATTATTTCCTTATTTTTAGTTTGCTACTGAGCTGAACTGACCTTCCTGTTTCGGCCCTCCTCCCGTGTACACTGTTGAGTTCCATGCAGGCTTCCACCTCTCCACACATGTTGGCCCTTTCTCTGAATCTGTCCTCTCCACCACCCATCATGCATCTCCCTTCTGCAGATAATCATGATTGTGATGTATTATTTTTGTGTGACACCATAGTTTTTAAATCTTTTATTTATTCCTGTACTGTCCCAAGATTAGTCAACAGTGGATTGTCAGCTGGGAAGTACATTCTAGAGAAGAGGCTTCTAAAAAGGGCTGGGGCCCTCTGTCATTCTCCCTCCATATCCAAGGGTGCCTGTCAAGGCAGATCTACCCAGGGAGGCGGAGTGTGTGTATAATAGTATGTTCCAAATTCGTCCTTACCTTTTTGTTTATCTCTATAAGTTTTGTAATGTCTGCTTTAAGAGCTCTTTGTAGCATGTGAAAACGGTCTTCAGTATTCAACCTTTTTTTGTCTTTTTATCCCACTTCCAAATGGTTTTAAATTCTTGATACTAGGATTCAGAATTGTTTTCTCAGCTACTCACTGTTTGGTATTCAACACAATCAAAGTGGCTCTCTGTGGCAATTAATGCTGAGGCAGACATCTTCTATTGACATTTCCATGAAAATTAAGCCTTTGATTTTATCTCTAGAAATCTTAATTGTTCATGGAAAATATTCTTGCTCCTATGTTTATGATAATATTACTTGAGTGAATATAGTATAAAGTTTAAGCTCTTTTAGACTTGGGTATCTTAGAATATCTTAACTATTTCCAAGAATATACAGGTACATTGAGGACACGATTTGCCTTTGCAAATGTCTTGAACTTGGTGTATTCCTGCTTAAACGTGAGCACTTATTTGGGGTTGGGAATCTTTACTTCCTATCGTAGTGGGAATATTTTGAATAGAGAATTTGTCACGTTGGATAGAGAAAGATAGTTACTGTTTTAGAAAAAGGTCTAAAGGCAGAGTTCTCAGCCCTGACTTGCTATAGAATCAGTTGGAAGGTGGTTTTTGTTTTGTTTTGTTTTAAGCATCTAGCCTATTCCAGATTCTGATTTAATTGGTCTGTGGTAGAGCTCAGCATTCCATGTTTTATTAAAGGGTTCCTAGGTGATTCCATTTCAACCAGGGTTGAAAATCACTAGTCTAGGAGGCAAAACACAATACATGTTTCGAATCAGAAGACCGAAAAAGGCAGATATAATGTATAAGTGGTATCTGTATTCAGTAACCTCATCATGAATTTCCCGTGTATTAGCTGTTTTTCTTTTCTATTAGATGTGAATTCTCCCCTTGGTCATTTTTTTCATAGTCAACCCCTTAATGTACTTCTTTTGCTCTGGTCTCCTCTTTTCTTGCCCCTCTTGTCTCAGAAACTGCTCATTGCTCTGCAGCTCCCTACACTGCATTGTGGGACGGGGATGATGCAGATAGAATCGCTGTGATTTTTAATGTTTAAATAGCATTTAGTTTGTCCTGTACTCAGGATGCTATTTGGTTTGTGAATCTTGGGATGTTAGGATAATTTTACTGTTAAATTTATTTCCTTTGCTTGGGTAGGCATTTTGTAGTGAGGTGTTTATTTTATTAATAGCTTATGAAATGAGACCTGTGCCCCTTCACTTGCAAGGACGGCTTCTGCTAAGGTCCATGTGCACCAAGCAGGTGTCCCTAGTGGTGAGGACTTCCAGCAGGTGCTGGTTTTGTAGATCCATCCTTGCCTTCCTGTCCAGGATATGTGGCTTATTGTCTAAGGCCATTTCTTAGAGGTTATGGGGAGACACAAACCTGTAATTGCAGACCAGGTCTCTCTAATCTAGGAGTATAATATCCTAATGTTATACTAGTTTCAAAATGCCTTTCTTTATGTAAACTCACTTGGGTCCTCAAAGTTAATTCTCAGATCCAGGCAGAAAATGGAGAAAAAATAGTTTTAGGTTTTTCTGTGATTTGAATCTCCCCTGAGGGTAAGTCAAGATTTAGAACGTAATAGCACATCTTTTATTTGGGAGGACATCAGTGTTTTTGAGTGCAGTCATTTATAGTCATTCTTGTTACTTATATTGCCTTTGAGCCCCACAACAAGCATTTTACTGGAGTTTCAGGGGTGTGTTGCACAGTGGATTCCTGCGGTCACATCTGTTTTAGAGCTGGGGAGTTTGAGGTTCAGGGTTGTCCTAGATTACAAAGACACGTAACTGACAAAGTTGGGGGTACTACAATTCTGTTTCTTTGCTTTTACTTCACCACTGATTAATTCTATGATACTATACTGTCTTCTCATATCTGGAAAGGAGGTGAAGGGGCAGCATGTACTTACATTTTGTTAGAATTTGCATGTGACCAACATTACATGATGAATATCAGGGAGCCATCCTGAGCATAGGGTAAAATGTTCATATCTACTGATATTATATGTCACATTGATCCACACCCATAATTGCTTAAAATACAGATTAAATTTAATCCTTGTCAGAGTTTTACAAAAACATAACACAAATAAATCTGAGGATGACACTAATGAAGAAATGTTTATGATTAACAGATGTGTTCCATCTGCTTATTTTTTCTTGATCTCATCTGTGGACCACAAAGGTCATTACCAGTGTAAGATGATTTTTAGAATACTGAACAAAAGCATTAAACCTAGACTATGAGCAACCATTGTCATAGCAGCAAAGTACTTAAAACACCTTCCAGACAATGAATGGTAGGAGGACAGCATCTGTAGGTCTCTTTTCTTATAGTAGAAAATGGATATGCGATGAAGGCCTTGAAGATGCTTGCTGCACGCCATCAGATATGGCAATGTAAACATAGAAACATGGGATGTAACAGTATGAGAGACTAAAATTAAATGTACTGTGAATATCCTTCAAGCCTCCAAAAAAGACCATATTTCTTGCTGATAGCAACTTTCTAATCACTTGTAAAGTTTGAAGCCTACATTTTGAAAATATCTCAGTGTGCATGTGTATATACATATATAAAACTGAGAAGATAAATGGAATTTTATATTTTCTTTTTACACTTTTTCATACTGTTATGCTTTTTTAAAAATACTTTTGTTTGCTGATGGAGAACTTCTGAGTTGCATATTTTTTATGTAGTCATTGACCTTATTGAAACTACTATTCTTTAGAATTTTAATTTTTTCATTTTTATACATTTGCCTATTTCTCTTAGAAATTCATGTTATAATACCTGTTGCAGCTTTTCAGTAAAGGAAAGTGATAATAAAAATTAGCTGGTGTTGCTGTTTATACATCTGTAGACAACTTCCACCACACAATTCTAGGGCATATTTATTTTATTAATAAAAAATATCCTCTTCCTCTGCTTTTGGTCCTGTTTTGATATTTTTATAACTTTTACTCTTTAATTCATTTCTGACCGTTGTGGAGACTCCTATATTCCTTACTCTTATTACATAGCTACCATGTCATACTCAGAGTGGGTAGGAAATAAAATTTGTCCAGCCTCCAGGACAAATAGCAAGAAGCATGGAGGCCATTTGAGATGCCATTTCAACAGTGGATATATTGAAACATCGATCAGGCCTACTATGATATGTTTGTGAATAGAAGCCAGCAAAAAAAAATCTGGAAAGTAAC